GGGCCTATGTTTATGACCTCTCAGTATGCTGTGTTTCAGCTTCTACTCTTGCTCCATTCAGCCACCATTTTAAGCAATTAATTGTATTAGTTTCCTGTGGCTGCTGTAACAAATTATCAGAAATTTAGTAGCTTAAAGGAAATTTATTCTCACTGTTCTGGAGGCCAGAAGTCCAAAGTCAGTGTCACTGAGCTGAAATGAGGTGTTGTCAGGGCCATACTCCTTCTGGAAGATGGAAGGAAGAATGTGGTGTTTGCTTCTTCCAGCTTTTGGTAGCTGTCAGCATTCCTTGGCTTGTGGCCACTTGTCTCTCTGCTCTGTGTTCACATAGTCTTCTCCTCTGGGTATCTGCATGCAATCTCCCTCTCCCCCTCTCCACTTCTAGTGGTACTTGTGACAGCATTTAGGACCTGCCTGCCTATTCCAGGAGGCGCTCCTCCTCCCAAGAAGAGCTCCTCCTAACATCTTTTGCCATGTAAGATCATATTCACAGGTTCCAGGGACGGTGACGTGGGTAATATCTTTGGAGCCACCATTCAGCCCACTACAGCCATCATCATTAATGACCACAATCCTATTCTATGCTGATGGTTGGAATTACAAGGGGCTACAAGCAGCATTGTTGTCTGCAAAAAGTCTACAGCTTATAGAGAAAGAACTCATACAAAGAAGCAATCATATGGAATGTTAAATTGGACACTGATGCGGAAACACTTTGGCATTTTCTTAAATAGTTAGATATTCTCACCATATGATGCAGCAATTCCATTCCTTGGTACATACCCAAGAGAAATTAAAGCATATGTCCACACAAAGACTTACACGGTAATGTTCAGAGCAGCACTATTCATAATAGCCAAAAGGTGGAAACAGCCCAAATGTCCACCAACTGGTGAATGACAAATACAATACGGTATATACAAAAAATGGAACACTATTCAGCAATAAAAAGGAATGAAATACTGACACATACTACAACACAGATGAAGTTCATGCTAAGTGAAAGAAGCCAGATACAAAAGATCGCATTTTATATGACTCCATTTTTATGACATGTCCAGGAAAGGAAAATCTATAGAGATAGAAAGCAGACACCCGGTTTTCTGAACCTGGCAGGTGGGAAGTAAGGATTGACTAGTGACAAACAAGAGGGGTCTCACTGGATAATGCAACTGTTTCAAAACCAGATTTTGGTGATGGTTGCACAATTCAGTAAACTCACTAAAAATCATTGAATTGTACACTTAAAATGGATGACTTTTCATGGTACGCAAATTATACTTCAATAAAATTATTTTTTTAAGTAAATAATAGCATAAGACTACATATGCTAAGGGTAAAGTGAATGATGGAAAGGTTGAGAATTCTACTGACAGAGCAAATCATCAGACAAAGCATGATCTTGGGCTGGCAGATGAGCAAAATTAGGGAGAGGACCTGCCCAGGGGTGCCATGGAAAAGGTTAGGTTTGGGTCTAGTCTCTGAGGTCAACAGTGTCATACTTTCTCTGCCTCTTTCATGGACCTCCTGCTCACCTTGGCCTGCTGCCTAAAGGCCCAGGGGTCCTGTGGTCCAGTGCACTTCTTCCACCTTAGCTTGGCCCAAGATGGGTAGCCTCAAAACACGTCACACACACACCCCCCACTTCCACATATGTAGCTCTCAGCCAAGCTTGCTGGGACCTCTTCCCTCAGAAGAAAGATGTTCTGGGAGACAATCTAGTCGGAACCTTCCAAAACAGAATGATGATCCATGTCCCTTTGGATCCATCCTACAATATTTCCTATGGGCTTTCTCTCAAAAAGGATGACAGGAAGCTCCAGGCTTCTGTTGTTTAGCTCTGATGAACCATTCACATTGTTGCAAACATTCCGTAAAAATGATGATTTTCCATATACTTGGAAATAAACCAGGCACTCTACCCTAACCTCAGCTTAACTAAGAAAGAAATTTTTCTTTCACAAAACTATTAGTGATTTAAAAAAAATAAGTCTCTGAAACACCTTAGGACAGACTTCGAAATTAGATATCTACTGTCAAATTGCAATCTAACAGGATTACAGGTTAGTCTTCGGTCTCAAGTCACATGTTATAAATGTGTGAAGGCTATCATTTGGAGAAATACAGTTTATAATATATACTCTGATGATAATCTCTCTGGGGCCCCAAAAATGATAGTTAACTACTTCATCAGCTTGATGAGGGGATAACACGGAATGTGCAGGGACCAGCACACACAAGGTAGAACCCAATAAATGATGATGATAATGGGTATTATCACTCTTTAAATAAAAAGAAAAAGAAGAGGAAAAGTAAATACCCAACAATCATTTGAAAGGTAAATGATATTTAAACCAAAATGGGACACCATTTTTCAGTCATTCCAACACAGTACAAGTGTTGGAAAAAATGTGAAGCCACAAAGCCACAGGAATGACCATCCACTGCTAGTGGGGCTATACACTGATACGACCAAGTTAGAAAGGGGTTTCACATTATCTTGAAAAGTTGAACATACACAGCCTCTAAGAAACAGCAATTCCATACCCCAGAGAGACTTTGCATATAATGCCTCAGGAATCATTAGCAAGAATGTTTGAAGCAATGTTGCTTATAATACCAAAGAGTTAGAAACAGCCCCACTGCCCATTGACAGTACACTGGATAAATAAATGGCATATACGCAAACAACGAATCATGGAACACTACATCAGAAACTAATGATGTAATGTATAGTGATTAACATAACATAATCAAAGAAAAAAATAAATGGTATATACACAAAAGGGAATACTATTCAGCAGTAAAAACAAATGAACTATAGCTGCAGAAATCAAATATTGGTGAATATGAAACACAATGTTGAAGTGCAGAAAACTACACACAGTATGACTCCATTTCCAAAAGAGACAAAACTAAATAATATGCCATTTGGGGACACATAAAAAACAATGGTTTCTTTGTGAAGGTGCTGAGCATAGGGATCGGGAGGAACTCATTAGGGTTTCAAAAGAATCTATGTTGTACCATTTCTTAAGCTGGGTGGTAGGTTCGGCTGTTTATTTTATTTCTCTAAGCATATTATCTTGCTATGCACAGATTATTCCTAATAAAAATAAACCCTAATATTCACAACAGAAAAATCAATAATAAATGTGATCAGGTAATCCCCAAAAGAAGATATGTCCATGACTAGTAAACCAATTTTTAAATCTTCAAATTTAGTAGCAAATAGTTGTAAAATTTTTTACAGTAAATTTTTTAAATGAGTAGTATTTTTCATCAATCAGATTGGCAAAGGCATTTTTTAAATAATATTTAATGCATACGTTAATGCAAAAAGATGGACAGTTATACTGTGCTGCTCAAAGTGTACATCAGAACAGCTTTAGGGCGCCTGGGTGGCTCAGTCAGTTAAGCATCCAATTCTTGGTCTCGGCTCAGGTCATGATCTCAGGGTCACGAGATCTCAGGATAGAGCCACGTGTCAGGCTCACTCTGGGCGTGGAGCCTGCTTAAGATTCTCTCTCTCCCTCTGCCTCTGCCCCTCCCTTGCGCTCACTCTTTCTCAAAATAAAAAAAAAAAAAAAGAACAACTTTTCTAAAAGGTTACTAAACAATACCTATCAAGAAGGCTTAGCATTTGTTTCTTGGACTCAGTATCAGAAGGTCACAAGAGATTCAGTCAAAGATTTAGATTCAATACAGCATTGTTCACAATAGCCAAAAATGCAAAACCTTTATCCATTCATTTGACAAACATTTACTGGACACCTACCATGTGCCAAGTATTGTTTGGGGCACCTGCAATACTTTAGTGAACAAAGTTGACAAAAATCTTTACCCTCATGGAATTTACATTATACAGGGAAGAATCAATACTAAACAGTAAACTTAGTAAATAGCTAAAGTAAAATAGTACATGAGAGAATAGATGCTTGAAGAAAAAGAAAAAGCAGAACAAAATAAGAGGGATCAGGAGTGGCTTTCCAGCCAGAGGAGGAGGAACAGGTTGCTTCACTAAGAAGAGGACATTTGAGCTAAGTTTCAAAGGAGGTGTGATATCTAGATAGTGGGTCCTTGGGCACTGGAGGCAGAGGAAACAGCTGGTGCAGATGTCACTCAAATGACAGCCTGTCTGGCAATCAGAGAACAGTAGAGAGTCTAGTGTGTCTGGAGAAGCCTGAGCAGGTGGAGGAGTAGAAGAGGAAGCCGGAGACCCAAGAGAAAAGTGTGCGGGGCAGTTATGAAAGGCTTCAAAGGACTTAACTCTCAGCAAAATAGGGAGACTTTGCTGGGTTTGGCGCAGAGAGCCATGCTGTGTCATATTTTTCAAGGATCCAAGTGTTCAAACAATAAGGAAATAACTAAATAAATTACAGTAAATTTGGTGCTTGTTTATAGTAAGAGCTCAGAAAATATTTAGAGGACAGATGACTATAATGGAATATTGTACAACCATTAAAACTATAACTTCAAAGAATATTCAGTGACCTAGGGGCTCCTGGGTGTCTCCATCATTTAAGCATCTGACTTCAGCTCAGGTCATGATCCCAGGGTCCTGAGATTGAGTCCTGCATCGGGCTCCCTGCTCAGCAGGAGAGTCTGCTTCTCCCTCTCCCCTCTGCTCCTTACCCCTGCTCGTGCTTTCTGTCTGTCTCTCACTCGCTCATTCTTTCTCTCAAATAAATAAATAAAATATTTTTTAAAAATATTCAGTGACCTGGAAAAATGCTTATCACGAACATTAAATGAAAAAAAAATCTGATTAAGAAGTTGCATGTACGTTGCAACTCCAACTTTGGAGATAGATAACAGAAACAAAAGTAGATAAAAATTATAAGGAAATACCATCAAATATGAGATGGTTTTAAGTAATTGGTGAAATTATAGATGTTTTTATAGCATTTGTATTTTCATGTATCTCTGAATTTTCTATACTAAAACATATTACTCTTATAATAGGAACAAAAAATAAATGCGATTTTTTAAAAACCTACCACAACTACATGGTATGACTTCTAGGGTGAACGTCTGGAAATATGTCCATTGATCAGAATCGTTAGATTTGTTCTGGGTTCGTGGGAAAATGGAAGGTGTTTGATTCATTGGCCGAATTTAGCAGCAAGCAGCCTGTAGTTCATCAGCGTGGCTGTCACCAGTAGTTCAATAAACCCATTGGAATCACTACAGAAGAATGTCTAATGGGATCATGGAAACAATCTGGCTGGTAAAAAAAACACATGATTAAAAAGTCATTACATTATCTACCAGGCAGGAGAAGAATTGCCTAATTTAACCACGAAAGTCACTACAAAAGACCAAAATAATTACAGTGTAAATGGATACCCAAAATAAGGGTTCATTTGATTTTAATGATACCTTGAAAGAAAATTATGGGTGCAGGGTGAGTTTGCCAGAATCACGTAAAACAGCTCATTAGCACCCTTACTGGACTGAATTGACTGCTCGTTCTGATCTGAGGCAGCACCCTGTCCCCCCCCCAACAACCGGAACTCCTTCTTGTTAATTTCATTCTGGTGTCTGGGTCTGCTGTCTTCAGATGCCTGCGACTCACTGAAGGCATGCCGGAGGACAGGTTTCCCCTGAGATGCAGCTCCTTTTAAGTTCCTACAAGGCTCAATTTGTAGCAGCATTTCATCCTTCTGTAGCCAAGAACATGTTGAGCCATCAGAAAAATGTGGTAATTTGGTCCATGAGGCATATGGAGTGATGAACAAGAAAAGAGTCCTGAAGAGAACCCGAGGTGGGATTTCCACAAAACATTTGGAATGCTCCCAGAAACTTGCTTTCCCTTCCTAAAAAGAAGGGTGGGTGGCTGCCCTTTCCTGAAGAGCTGGAGCATGTCCTTGTACAAGGGCATCTTCAAATCCAAAGCGTCTTACCCAGCAATGACGGCTGCAGAGCTAAGTAGTTGCTCATTTACTTAATCAGGTGCTAAAGTTCAAAGGGGAGTCAGTCCCTGCACTAAGTGAATCGGGGGCACCTGGGTGGCTCAGTCAGTTAAGCGCTTGCCTTCAGCTCAGGTCATGGTTCCGGAGTCCTGGGATCAAGCCCCGCATCAGGCTCCTTGCTCAGTGGGGAGCCTGCTTCTCCCTCTGCCTGCTGCTCCTTCTCTCTCTCCCCCCGCCCCGTCTCTCAGATAAATAAATAAATAATATTTTTAAAAAAGAAGTGAATCATTGCAGAGGAAAAGTGGATCATTTGTTACCCTTCTACAGGACAGAGGGTGTTGTGGGAATACAATGAAGAGGCCTGAGCTAGGGAGGGGAGAGGTGGTTATGTTTCCTTGGACAAGAAATGCCTCAAGTTAATTCCAAACAAGTTAGGTGGACAAGAAGACAATGGGATCGTTCATATGATGTCTGCCACAAAATACTCTGAAAATTAGCCCAATATTGCCGGGCTTTATTGTTATTGCTGTTGTTTTGTTTTTATGAAACCAGCTTTTCCCTCTAGTTACAATCCATGCTCAGCATGAAGTTCTTGTATTTCACTGGTTTGAGATGACAAGTCCTACAATTCCCAAGGTCGTGTTAAAAAAAAAAAAAACACTCAACCTGAGTAAATTTTAAGACTGACTTGGCTTTACTCAATGATTCATGAATCAGCAGCATCCCATTTAGCAAGCAGAAAAGAGCTCCCAGGAGCTATACAAAATGGAAGACTTTCTAGGCAGAAGGAGGCAAGGCAATGAAGTTGTTCTAGGAAAGAATGGATTGGTTCAGGCAGGGTCACTTGTGGAAGAAATGTTGATAACAGCATTGCAACGGATGTTCTGTGTTAGGACCCCTGATTAAGCATCTCAAATAGGAAAAAAGGCCCGAAACCTGGCCCCAAACTCCTGAGGAGTGCCTTCGGCTAGATAGGATCTTTCTGAGGTAGAAAAAAATGAAGGACCCTGGAAAAAGCAGGAGTGCTGTGTGGGTGTGATAGGACCGGGAAGGCAGTGCCACTGGAAGACCCACCAGGCCAGCTCCCCGGGGGGAGGGGTGGGATTTGGGGGGGGAGGGGTGTAATGGAAATAGAATGCCGCCCCTTCCTCACCCCTCCACAGCAACAGTGTAGCCCAGCTCTTGGGTGTGACCAGGGTCCCTCTGAAAGAAGGAGGTGTGGCAGCCTGGGTTTTCCAGCGATTCTCCTAACTGAGAGCTACAAACTAAAGGCAGGGTCATCTTCTCACTGAAGCCATTACCTGCCTCTTCCATCCTCCTCAACCAAGATGGATTGGCCAGGGTTACCTGAATTAGTAACAAGACTTATGGTAAATACTTCCCTGAAAACTATGATAAAAAGAATCAGATATTTCTCCTTACTGGTCTGAAGGGATATCTCTTTCTCAGTCAGAAGTCAAAGGATATGAGTGAACCATCTAAATAGCAGAATATGATAAGTGTTCTAAACAACTATGTTGACTGCATTCTTCTGGGCCAAAAGGTGGGGGAAACCTCTTCCACCCCCTCCTTTCCCCCTCCTTTCTCTTTCCTTCCTTTCCTGAAGAATTCACTCCCAAAGCCATGAGGTGGGGCAGACCAAATATATTAAGGATGATGGAAGCCAAGTCTCTCCTTGTCAAAGGAGGAAGCTACAAATATGAACCTTGAGATGTTGGCATTGAATTAGAATCAGGGGTATGGATGTGAACTCGTGGTTTTCCATATAAAAGCTAACTATAGAAATAAAGATTGTGGGGGGGCGGGCACGTGTGTGTGCGTATGTGTGTTACTCCTTGGAAAAATGGCTCATTCGCCGGCTGGAGCAGGAAAAAACAAGACAAGCCTGGAACATCTTATGCTGGGAAACACAGCACTCAAAGAATGATTAAGACATGTCAAAGGACACAGAATCCAACTTGAAGGGGGTCCATTGACCAAACTGAGGGACAATTAAATTAGAGCATCTAATGCAGTATAGCCCACTGAATACATAGGAAGGAAACGAGGAGTCCTTACAGACTTAATAAACGAATAAATTGAAAGTTTGATGATGAATGGGCTATTTACATAGTTTCAGATTAACGCCCCCTGAATACATGTGAGTAACTATACAGTAGGGAAGCCAGGTGCACACCTCCTTAATCACATCATCAAAGTGAACATTACCAGTCACTGGACAAATTAAAACCCCGTGCATCCAAGAGGATACCATGCAAGAACATAGCCTCGCTTCTGTGATTTCCCTGCCAAAAAGGAATAACCAAAATCTAATCATGACAAAACAGCAGACAAACCCAAATTGAGGGACAGTCTACTAAACAACCAGCCTATAATATTTTAAAGTTATGAAAATCAAGGTAAAGATTGCAAATTTGTTGCCAGATAAGGAAACCAAAGAGGCATGATAACGAAATGGCGTGCATCATTCTGAACTGGATCTCTTCGCCATGAAGGATATTTATTGAGGCAGTTGGTGAAACTGTAGCGGAGACTAAAATGTAGACCGTAGTGACATATGTCTGTTCATTTCCTGACTGAGATGGTTGTACGGTGGCCACAGAGGGCAAAGTTCTTGTTGGTTGTGTGCAATATGCATTCAAGTATTTAGAGATGAGGGGCATCAGGTTGGCAACTTATTCTCAGCCAGTTCAGAAAACATGGTTTTTATGCAAAAACCGATGGTTTTTATGTCATCGTTGCAAACTTTCTGTAAGTCTGTGATTGTTTACAAGAAATTTTAAGTATTTTTTTTAAGATTTTATTTATTTATTTGACAGAGAGACAGAGAGAGAACACAAGCAGGGGGGGCGGCAGGCAGAGGGAGAAGCAGGCTCCCTGCTGAGCAGGGAGCCAGATGCGGGACTCGATCCCAGGACCCTGGGATCATGACCTGAGCTGAAGGCAGCCACTTAACCGAATGAACCACCCACGCACCCTTAAGTATTTTTTTAAATATGTCCTGTGATGACAACGAAAATACCAGACAGCAAGGCTCTCCTACAAATACCAGAGGGCCTGGCTGTTCTACCCACTCTGAGTAAGACAGAACCTCCTGGAGCTGTTCTGTGGGTTCCTCCAGAGCAGCTGGGTCTCTACCCTTGAAGTCTGGTTTTCTCTCCACCATGGAGCTCTTGTCCCAGATGATTTACCTTTGTGATTAGCATGGCTTCTCCAGGCTCAAAAATCCATGCTGTGCTAAAGAGAACTTAAAATACAAAAGGCCAGGCACCTGTTCATTGAATTTCCTTTGCCAAGTAGCACAGAATTGTTGCTACTAGCTGACATCTGTAAGCTGTGTGCGTACAGTGGCTCACTGGTCAGGAGCCAAAACTTCTGAAGGACGACAAATGGTTGGTGCTAGGACACCAGGAGAAAGCTATTCCTTCTTTTATTTTCCATTGAACAAGTATTTATCAAGTAGTTAATTTGAGCCAGACATTGTGCTCAAAGAAGGGGACAGAGCCAAGAATAAAAACCCAATCTTTCTCCTCAAGGACAGTACAACCTAGGGTACTTTCTAAAGATCACATTTTCTATATTGAACAGTAACATATACACACAAAGCATGCAAATCATAATTGTACTGCTCCATGAATTTTCATGAACCAAACACACCTGCATAATGAGCACCCAAATCAAGAAAGAGAACATTACCACCTCCTAGAAGCATTGTTGCTCTTTCCAAACACTACCACTCCTCCCTGACCTCCTGATTTTTAGCAAAGCCTAGTTTTGCTGGCAGATCTTCACTTTTAAAGGAGATTTCAAGGAGGACACCTAAGTCCTGGTTCTTCCAGAATGGAATTTCTCCTCCTGGGGACCCGGATCATCCAGTGCTAACATTATCTCCTTGCACAGTGACTTGATTCTGCTTCTCCATAGTGCTGGGATTTGCTGATTAATGGTCACAATTTGAGCTTTGCCTGGTATGGACCTGGATGATAATACCCCTATGAAAGAGGTTGAGCAGAACTGCTGAATTTGGTTGCCAGCAGGGGGTCCCTTTCTTTAGACCAGATGCAACATGGCAGGATACAGCAAGCATCCATCTCATACAAAGGCCTGGTGGCAACCCTGCATGTATGAGTTGTTTGGGTTGGCAAAGTGAGTGGAGAGGCATAGGGAGCTTTATCCATGGCAATTCAATTCATGGGCTTGCACGATTCTCAGGCATCCTCAAAAGAACCAGCCCTTGCTTCTTTAATAGGAGGCCTTAAGAAATACCTCCCTAATTTCCCGTGGTGGTGCTGCCCCCTTGGGGCTGCTCACTTGTATGTCAGAAGATCCCACCTCTTCTCAGGGACTGTTAAATTCAAGTGCCCTTTTATTTGTGTAAGACAAAGCCCCATAGAGCTCAAAAGGAAGGAGGTGTATATCCTCAGCTAGGCCAGTTAAAGTATCTCTAGTTTTTAAAGAAATTTTGAGCGGTTGCAGGGCTGTTGAACCCCTCTCATCCTGAGGGCTGCCCAGAGACAGAGTCCATTCCTCATGGAGGTCAGTTTCCTCCTTCATCAATCATTTCCTCACATTCTTCTCTTTTCCCTCCCACTCTGACCTGTTCTTTTTACTGTTCTCTTCTTTTCCTTCCTATCTGTTTCCTCTCACTCCATTATTGTTTCTAAGGCTTCTACTTGGGTCTCCTCATTTGCAATCATATAAAGAACAGAGAGAAAGGAAGACAACTCTTCCTCCAGAAGAGTGGTAAGAAGGAGGAGAACGCTCCTATAGATGGCAATGTTCCGTCACATGCATTTAGCAAATAAAAACTAGAGACACATATTGCCATTGCAGGGAAAGAAAAATTTCTCCTCTACATTTGGGTCTTTGGCTGGGCCTAAGAATTAAACTGACATGAGACAGATTAACAGGAGGAAAAGCATACAAGTTCTATTTTTTTATACTTGTACATTGGAGCCTTCACAAAGAAAAATGAAGAAGCAAACAAGCAGCTAGAGTCAAACACTTCCACATGAAGTTAGACAAGGAGTACTAAATTGTGAGCACGTGACAAGGCAAAGGTGCTTAGGCTTGGGTAGTTAATTATGGAGAGGCGACTAGAAAGATTGGATTAGTTTAATAGGTTTGTTTGCACAAATTTCTCTTGGCCTCGGCTCCTCATCCCTGGTGATAAGAATGTTTCTTTTCTTCTCATGTAGGTGGGACATCTTCCATTTGGGCAACCCATCTCCTGCTTTCAGGAGGAAAAAGGAAGGGTGCCCTCCACGCATCTGCTGTTTCTCAAGTGTCTTTAACTCAAAATAATCAATATGCCGGAACAGCGTATTTTGGGGGTGGTGTCTTCTAAACTCTTTCACTGTATAGGAAATGTTTTACATGGCGTTTTCCTTTTAAAGAGAATTTTGAGGAAGTTGCCAGAAGGGATGACTAAGAGTCCTGTCCGTGGGGAGGAATAAGATGAACTTTAATCTATAGACTATTCAATTTGAGGGCATTTCCAGAACTTAGAGGGCCCTGAAAAGTCATCCAACCCAAAGCCTTCATTTTACAGATTAGAAGGCAGTCCCAGAGATGCTGATCTGCTTAAGGTCGCACAGGTAGCCAGTAGCAGGAACCCACATCTGAAATGTCCCAGTATAGTGCTCTTTCTGTTGAGAGTGTTCTTGTAAATTGGAAAAACACACAAACCAACTTCCTCATAGGTGTCCTGCTGAAGTGGCAAGCTTCGCCAAGTTGAAAAGTTAAAAATTATAGTATCATTTGTGAAAGCATCCAACAGAACTTAATCCAGCCTTCAGAAAGCACGATATAAAGGAATCCTCTTCCTTACTACCTTAAATTACGGGCAGCACATTTAGCGATCTTTCCCTAACTTGTTGAGGAGGTGTTGAAACTTTTCGGAGGAGTCCTATCTTTTTGTCTTCCTGTGGTTTGTTTGAAATTCATTACCCTCTTTCATCCTCTGTGATCCCTTTCTCTCCCTCCTCTTTCTTGGCCCTTCTACCCCACCCCAGCCCAGGTCAAATCTGAAGGATCTGCTAGGGGAATATCACAGTCACCAAGGACTCATCATCATCATCAAGATTGATCCCATATGGTGTCTACAAAGATGAGGGGTGAGGCCCCGGTGCTTGCAAACTCCACAGGGATGATGTGGGAACACAACCCCTTTTGTCTTCATTCCCAACCCCTGAGATGAGCTCAGTCTGCTAGAACCAAGAATTTCTACTCCCCTGGCTTCACTAGAGCTTCCAGCCATGTTTTTTCCATTTCTTCAACTGCATTTCAAGAGCAGTGGGATTCAGGGGTTTGAAAAGCTTTTAAAAATACATTTCATGTGATCTCGTGCCTACAGAATTCATTCTCCAATTTACCTTTGAGCTCTTGCCTATTCTTACTAATTCAATTGTTCCTTTTGTGTCTATAAATTATATTTGGATTTTTTTTCCTTCCCTCCTGTTTGTTTAGTTCCCAGGATAGAAGAATTCTCATCTCAGGCTCTAATTACAGCCCCAGCACGAATCTATCATTTGTTTCCAAAATGCTTGAAGAGGTGTCTCACTGAGTTCTTCCCTTTCAAGCTGGCCTCTCAGAATGTTAGTGGAGATTTCCAGAAGCTTCTTCCATTAACCATGCGTTGATTTGAAATCTGAATGTTTTCCCCCAAGTTATGCGCTACAATGGAGGCAGGGAGCCACAAAAGACGAAGCACACGCCAACATTATCCTTATAGCACTGGTGCTTGAAGCTTCTTGTCTTCAACTACAAAATGACAGCTATTAATAAAATTTGAGTTTATTTCTTTTAAAGAAAGAAGTGACTTACTGTCTGGTTTCTTCTCATCATCTTTGGCCAGCTGTGTTTGGAGAAGCCAGGAAAGACTTGCTGAAGAAGGAAGATCTGTCTGGTTCAACTAATTGCTTGCCCAGTTACCCAAGCATTAGGACTCATGCCAATGGCCACAATATTGAAGAATCAGCCAGAAATGGACATGAAAGAGAAAGGAAACATAAAAGCAACTCTACTCTAGTAAACTGCATGGCATTCAAGGAGGGGAAAGACAAACAACTCAAAACACAACCTTAAAATGTGCTCAGCAAGAAACAAACTGCCCACTGGGGGCCTCTGGAACTTCCTTCTGAGGCAAAGTTCAATTATACACTGAAGTACTGAAGGCCAGACCATGGTGAAGGAGAGCAGGCTCTCTCACCTTGTGGAATGCAGCTATGAAAAAGATTTATCACGTATCTGATGGGCTTGCCACATGTCGAAGACTAACTTTTATTTTATCAATTTTTCCCTTTCTTTCTCCCCACCCTGACACACAAAAAAATTGTAATTGTGGTGACAGGAAAATGTCTGTAATAATTTTAACATATGTAAGATTACCCAAGAGGTATTATCATATGTAGGTGGTTTCGGAATTTCATTAATCCACAATCTAGGAATGTGATATTGTATAGATTGTACTTCTTTACAGTACAAAGACAGTGAATTCTTAACAGACACTAAAGGACAGTCCTTCTTTTTTCCAGCATGCTCCTCACATTTCTCCAGCTGAGTTGTTCAAATGCAGAAAAGTAACTTGTTGGATACTCAGCTACCAGCTTCTTATCCAGATCCCCTTCAGAAAACAAGTAAATTCTGTTTGCATGAAGCTTACAAAAAATAGGATTAGGAGCAAGACATTATATTAAATTAACTGATTGGGCAGGAATGGCCTTGTTAATTTCCCTTTGTTAGATTTGCTCTACAAACTTCAATTTCAAAGATGTGAAACATATATATAGACAGTTCAACTCAGTGCTATGAGTTGAACTGTCTCTGCAGGGTAGGCCAGGCAAATCCGTGCAATGAATTTCCTAGGATGGCCATTTACAGCTGTCTTCTTTTTTTTTTAATTTTTTATTGTTATGATAATCACCATACATTACATCATTAGTTTTTGATGTAGGGTTCCATGATTCATTGTTTGTGCATGACACCCAGTGCTCCATGCAGAACATGCCCTCTTTAATACCCATCACCAGGCTAACCCATCCTCCCACCCCCCTCCCCTCTAGAACCTTCAGTTTGTTTTTCAGAGTCCATCGTCTCTCATGGTTCGTCTCCCCCTCCGACTACCCCCCCTTCATTCTTCCCTTCCTGCTATCTTCTTCTTCTTCCTTTTTTTTTTAACATGTATTATTTGTTTCAGAGGTACAGATCTGTGATTCAACAGTCTTG